CTCGACTCCTCGAGAATCTAGGTCCCTGGACAGACAGAGCGTCCGAACTGAGTGTCAGCAGGGTTCCATGCCTTACTGCACGAACGGACTCGAACGCCGGCTCATCAGTGAAACTCACGGGATCTGACGTAAATATGACTGTTGGATCCCGCTCTACTATCACCTCTGGGCTGATCTGTGCATACCCTTCGATATCGTGCGCCACGTTCTCGAGTTTCAGCAGATCGAAGACCTCCTGCATAATTGTCCCTTGGCCTGGAGTCCAGAAACCGCCCACATCCTGCAAGACTGTTGGCCCCGCCCCGACCGGCTCCATCGTCCCGCGAATTGCCGCGACCCGTGACTCGAAGTCTATCGCTACGATCTCCGCCGCATCCGGGTTTCCGACAATCCTGCCCCACGTTCGTGTATGGTCCGCAATCTTCTCGAAGTCATCCGACAACGACGGTATGTAAAGTACCTTCAGCCCTGCCCGCTCCAGGTCCTGCACAAACCTGTCGAAGAATACGAAGACCAGATCTGGTTCAAGTGCAACCGTGGCCTCGATGTCCATGTTGAAAGCATCGCCCACCCTGGTGATATTCGCTACCTCAGGCGGGTAGCTCACATATTGGTGAGTCCCTACGACTCGGCCACCCTCGCCAATTGCGAAGAGTATCTCCACCACTGACGAATCAAACGCGACGATTCTCTCGGGCGGTTGCTCGAAAGTAATATCTCGACCGTCACCCGACTGAACCGTCACTGGAAACACCACGGGAATCGGAGTGGGTACCACTGTCTCCCGTATCGGCTTAGGGTTCCCGACACGAACAATCCTGGGTGTAGGGAGAGGAGCCGCGGTAGGAGCAGGAGCAGCCAGTGCAGGCTGTTGCGGAACAGATGGGGCGGATATCGGCCCACTTTGCTGAGTCACGGCTGGCTGAGCGGGTGCTGCGGGAGCAGGAGCTTTCGGCTCAAGTGGCGCGCTAGGCTCTTCAGTAGCGCACGAGACTATGCCCATACACGCTATGAGGAGTGCTACGAAGAAAAAGGCGAGTCTAAGCAATTTCAACTCCATCAGCTGAAGCAGCAAATCATTCGGTCCACAGCCCCGGACGCCGGGTCAGTATTGACCAAACAAAAGACCCTGCTTCCAGGATGGAGCAGGGTCTGCCGTGGCTGCGCGGGCCGATTTCGTACCTTTCCTCGAAGGCCAAGAAGTCGACGGGAGTAGTGGACCGGGCTCGCTCCGCCTTGCAGCGAAGCCTACCGTTGCGGGACAGCGCTGGACTTCGACCAGCTTCCTCTCTTAGGTCCTGTGACGGACGCCCCCGGCGTCTAAGATTCTATTTGGAAGGTGCAACGTGCGAATTACGTTGGCTAATGATGAACGCACGCGGCTCACGTGTCAAGAAACGCCCTGACGGCACGCTGGAACGCTTCGCATTTCGGCGGTCGGATTGGCTAAGAATCAGAGCTTCCCGCCTTACTCAGAGCTCCTGGAAATTGCGTTTGAAGCACGCGTTGTTCCAATTGAGTGAACGTTCGAAAAATGATACAATTGTCCTACTGTACTTTGTACGGAAACCGTCGCATCCAAACGGCTGGCTTGGCTCCTGACTAGCGCGTGGGCAACTATGTCGTGAGGGCTGTTTGATCTCAACTGCACCTAGGCTTGATCTGCGTCAGTTGGGACCTCTTCCGATGGATGCCAATGTGTGGAATCCCCGTCTCGGACTGGTCCGCACGGGACTACAGAACTATCACAGGAGCTTTGTATGGCATCCAGACCGGACGATCTAGTTGGCCAGTACACCGCAACCGACATTCAGGTTCTCGAGGGCATGGAGGCCGTCCGCCGCCGGCCCGGTATGTACATTGGCAGCACCGACCAGCGTGGTCTGCATCACCTCATCATCGAAATTGTCGACAACGCAGTCGACGAGTTCATGGCTGGGTTCTGCGAAAGTGTTGAGATAACGCTTCACGAGGACGGATCGGTCACGGTTGTGGACGACGGCAGGGGGATTCCGGTTGATAAGCACCCCACTACAGGTCTGTCTGGCGTCGAAACGGTAATGACCACCCTCCACGCCGGAGGCAAGTTCGGCGGGAAGGCTTACCAGGTCTCGGGTGGCCTGCACGGCGTTGGAGCCTCTGTAGTAAACGCTCTGTCAGAGTTCGTCACTGTGGAGGTCTACCGCTCCAACAGGGTCTACTATCAGACTTTCTCTCGAGGAATTCGACAGGACGACCTGAAATATCGACGGGCACGTCCAGATGAGCAGGAAAAGTCAGGGACGGTTGTTACGTTCATTCCCGACAAGCAGATATTCCACGAGTACGAGTACGACTTCAACGTGCTTGCCCAGCGCTTCAAGGAAATGGCCTACCTGAACAAGGGCCTCCGAATCAGATTCAGGAGCCACTACCACGCTGATCGCTGGCCCAATAACGAGGTCACCTACTATTTCGACGGCGGAATCTCCAGCTTCGTTTCCAACCTGAACCAGACCCGAGAGGTCCTGCATGAGAAGCCTATCTATCTAGAGAAGCAACTTGAAGGCGGCACAATAGTCGAAGCCGCGCTCCATACAACGACAGCTTTAACGAGTTCGTCTACTCTTTCGCCAACTGCGTCAATACGCACGACGGCGGCTCGCACATCACTGGATTCCGTTCAGCTCTGACCCGCGTGCTCAATGACTTCGGGCGCAAGCAGAACATCATCAAGGAGTCCGACCCCAACCTCGCTGGCGAGGAGACGCGTGAGGGACTTACGGCTGTCATCAGCGTCAAACTGACCGACCCTCAGTTCGAGGGACAGACCAAGGGCAAGCTCGGAAACCCCGAGGTGCGAACGCAGGTCGAGAGTGTTGTTGCTGAGGCCGTTCAATACTACCTCGAGGACAACCCCAGCGATGCAAAGCGCATCATAGACAAGTGCCTAACTGCCCAGCGCGCCCGAGAGGCTGCCAGGAAGGCCCGCGATCTCATAATTCGCAAGAACGCCATGGACGGTGGAGGACTGCCTGGCAAACTCGCCGACTGCGCTGAGAAGAACCCAGAGTTTTGCGAAATATACCTGGTTGAGGGGGACTCGGCCGGTGGCACCGCCAAGGGCGGAAGAGACCGCAGGACTCAGGCTATCCTACCCCTCTGGGGTAAGATACTGAACGTCGAAAAGGCCCGCGCAGATAAGATGCTCAGCCACGACGGCATTCGCTCTATGATCACGGCAATAGGCGCTGGACTAGACGACGATCTAGATGTCACTAAACTGCGGTACCACCACATTATCATCATGACTGACGCGGATGTAGACGGCTCCCACATTAGGACGCTAATTCTGACGTTCTTCTTCCGACACATGCGTGAGTTGATCGAGCTAGGTCACATTTACATCGCCCAGCCACCCCTGTACAAGATCACGGCCGGACGAGACTCCCACTACGCGTACAGCGAGGGTGAGCGCGAGGGCGTGATGATACAGATGAAGAACAGGCGCAATGTCCACCTGCAGCGTTACAAGGGCCTCGGTGAAATGAACGCGGAGCAGCTCTGGGAGACCACCATGGATCCCGATCGCCGAACGCTCCTTCAGGTCACCATCGAGGACGCGGCGGGAGCCGATGAAGTCTTCTCCACGTTGATGGGTGACGTGGTCGCTCCCAGGCGCAATTTCATACAGACGCACGCGCTGGAAGTTAAGAACCTCGACGTCTAGAAGACAGGTCTGAGAGTCAGTTGGGCACTGCCTGCCGAGTTTAGGGAAGGTAGGGCTAGCGCCGGTCCCACATGCCGGTGCTGAAGTATCGTTCTCCGATGTCGTTGAAGACCGTTACGACAGCGCCTGTGCCCGCCTTTTTTGCGGTCTTTAGTGCACCCAGCATGTATGCCCCCGAGCTCTGGCCGGCGAACAATCCTTTGGCAGACAGCTCAAGGGAAACGGTTCTAGCCTCGTCAACGTCAATCGGCAGCATCTCGTCGACGACGCTTTGATCGAAAGTGTTGGGAATAATGTGGCCCTCGCCCAGGGGCTTTAGACCCTCAACGCCCGGCCATTCCGGGGGGTTGATGCCGACGATCTTTATCCCTGCGTCATGCTCCTTGAGCCTGCGCCCTACCCCGCTGATCGTACCACCAGTCCCCACTCCGGCCACAAAGTGTGTGACCTGCGGCACCTGCGAGATGATCTCCTCGGCGGTCGTGTCATAGTGGGCCTGGGGGTTGTTTAAGTTCGAGTACTGGTCGCACCAGAAGTACCGGTCAGGGTCACTTTCATAGCGGCGCTTGACCTCGTAGAGCGTCTCGTCATAACCGAGCATAGGGTCTGTCGCGATGATTTCCGCGCCATGGGCAATGAGACGCTTCTTCCTCTCTTCACTTGCATTCTCGGGCATGACAAGGGAGACTTTGTAGCCGAGTACCGCACCAATCATTGCGTAGGCTATTCCAGCGTTACCTGAAGTAGCGTCGAGTATCGTCTTATCCTTCGTGAGGTCTCCAGCAAGTATGGCCTCCACCAACATACGTAGCACAGGTCGATCCTTGATCGACCCTCCAGGGTTAAGGTGCTCGTACTTGGCGAACACATGAGCATTGCCGGTGTCATAGTCTAGAGAGACCTGTGTAGTCGGTGTGTTTCCGATCGCCTTCAGCGGAGGATACCGCTCTATGAACTCTAGAAACTCCTTCGAAGGAGCCAAAGTGTTACCTCTCAGTTTTGGTGCGTGTCCCCGATCATCCTGTAGTGTACACGAGGGCGTAAGGAGTATATCCAGTTGGCAAATTTCTTTCCAGCAAATGACCTGAATATGGCTTAGAATCGAACCAAGATAGGCTCTATCTTTTACTCAAGTACACCACACGCTCAGTTGTTTCAGGAGCGAAGATGACATCTGTACAGGTCGACGTTAAGGGCAGGGTCGCCCACCTCAGGGAGCAGATTAGCCGCCACGACCAACTCTACTACGTCAGGTCAAGTCCTGAGTTAACCGATGCTGAATATGACGCCCTTATAAGGGAGCTCCGCGCCATTGAAGAAGAGCATCCGGAACTTGTTACCCCGGAGTCTCCAACACAGCGCGTGTCCGGCGTACCCGCAGATGGCTTTGACGAGGTCGCTCATCGACTTCCTATGCTGAGCTTGGGAAACGCCTTCGATGGCGAAGAGCTGGTCGCCTGGCACTCCCGGGTCGCCGAACAGCTTGAGGTCGACCAGTTCGACATGTTGAGCGAGCTAAAGTTCGACGGGCTGGCCGTCTCGTTGACATACGAAAACGGCGTTCTTACTCGAGGAGCCACGCGGGGAAACGGCCTGGTAGGCGAGGACGTTACCGCAAACCTTAGGACGGTCAGGAGCATTCCGCTCAGCCTGGGCTCGTCAGAAGTTCCAGCCATCCTGGAGGTGAGGGGCGAGGTCATATTCCCGAAGTCCAAGTTTGAAGAGTTCAACAGACTACGGGAAGCTCAGGGGCTGCCTACCTACGTAAACCCTCGCAACACTGCATCCGGCTCGCTCAGGCAGTTGGACCCTCACATGACAGCCGAACGTCCACTCGACATCTTCATCTACTCAGTCGGTTACCGAGAAGGGGGCAGCGTTCCCGACAACCAGCGAGATTCTCTCGAATACCTTGGCGAACTCGGTTTCAAGGTTAATGAGTACAACCGGATATTCTCGACAGTCCGAGAGGTACTTGATTGGTACAAGCGCTGGCGCGACGAGTTCCACGACCTTGACTACGGCTGCGATGGCCTGGTCGTCAAAGTGAACCGATTCGACTACCAGCGCCACCTTGGAGACGTGGGCCGCGAGCCGAGATGGGCCATTGCTTATAAGTTCCCTGCAGAGCAGGCGGTCACGGTATTGCGGGACGTCAAGTTCAACGTCGGCCGAACTGGGACCATCAACCCCTACGCAGTCTTGGAGCCAGTACACGTAAGCGGTGTCACAGTTAAGCAGGCAACTCTTCACAATGAGGATTACATAACTTCGCGAGATCTTCGAATCGGCGACCGGGTTGTGGTTGAGCGCGCGGGTGAGGTGATCCCGCAGGTAGTCAGGCCGCTCACCGAGCTTAGAACGGGGGTAGAACTGGGCGTGACGATGCCTTCTTCGTGCCCAAATTGCGAACAGCCTGTCGTTCGCCGAGAGGGCGAGGCAATGTCCTACTGCACTAACGCTTCCTGCCCTGCTCAGTTGATACGCATGATTGAGCACTTTGTCAGCAGGGGCGCAATGGATATCGAGGGCCTGGGAGTGAAACAGGGTGGGGCCCTGATATCCGCCGGACTACTTAAGGACGTCGCAGACATTTACACGCTTCATGAATACCGCGACGGCCTCGTCGAGATGGAGCGGATGGCCGAAAAGAGTGTTAGCAATCTCCTGGCCGCCATCGACACGAGCAAGAACCAGTCGCTGGCAAGGGTGCTTGTCGCCTTGGGTATTCCATTCGTGGGAGGAGAAGTCGCGGGTATCCTGGCTAGACACTTTGGGACAATGAAGGCTATGCGCCAGGCCTCCGTGGACGAGTTGGTTGTCATTAATGGAATTGGGCCCAAGATCGCGGAGTCGGTTCACAGCTACTTCGTGCAGGAGTCCAACGCCCTTGTTGTGGACAAGCTCCAACTCGCGGGAGTAAACATGGTTGAGGAATCTGTTCAGAGCTCCGGCGGAACCAGCCTGGTAGGCCTGCGCTTTGTCGTAACTGGAAGGCTGCCTAACTATTCCCGCTCTGAGATCCAGGACAAGATCAAAGACCTCGGAGGGGCTGTCTCAGGTTCGGTCAGTAAACGTACTGACTATGTTGTCGCCGGGGAAGGTGGAGGCTCTAAGTTGGCCGACGCTCAGGAACTGGAAGTAAATGTACTTAGCGAGGACGAGTTTGAGCGCCTAATTGAACTCGGGCGCGACCTCTTCGAGGAAGAGCGTTAGCTGTCGCTGTTGGTCGAACGAAGCGAACCGGACGATCATGGTTTCCGCACCAGCTGCTTCATAACGCCGAATACGTTCAGCGATCAGTTCTGACGGACCGTAGGGACCCCATCTGTCCCCCCACATGTTCATACCATAGTACATGTTCAGGAACTTGTCCGCCTCTTCTGCACGCTCGTTAGCGTCGCTACCAATGTTGACCGTCATGTAGAACGAACGCTCCAGTTCATCCTGGTTGCGACCCAATTCGATGGCATTGCGCTGCACGCTGGAGACCACCTTGGCGTACTCGTCAGGGTAGTCCGAAATCGATATTACCCCCGAACCCAGGCGCGCTACCCTCTCGAACTGCCGCTCTCTGCCGGAGCGCCAGTGTGCGGCCACGAGAAACGGCACTCCTCCCGCCTGTGGTGATTCGGGAGCTATCTTCACGTCCTTGAACTCGAAGTGCCTTCCAGAAAAACTCACAGGCTCACCTGTCGTTAGTTCTCTAACTATTTCAAGGACCTCTTCAAAACGTGCTGCCCGGGACTTTGAGTTGACGCCGGCGTTGAGCCATTCACTTCTTTGAGCTTCGTTGAACGCACCGCCCACACCAGCCCCTAATATGAGTCGGCCATTGGAGATAAAATCGAGTGTCGCCGCCTGGTGAGCGAGGTGAACGGGGTTTCTTAGCGCTGCAAGGAGCACTGCTGTCCCCAGCCTGACGCGTTCAGTGTGCGACGCAACCGCTGTCAGTGTCGTCAGCGGTTCCAGGCGAGGCTTGGCGGTGAGACTATCACCCACCCAGACCGAATCGAGACCTGCCGATTCCGCGGTCTGGGCCAGGTCGATAACCTGGCGAAACTCCTCAGGTGTACCACCCTCCATCACCAGGCGACGGGTAGGCAAAAGGATTCCGAACTTCACTTCAGCGCTTCTCCGATTGTGTCCAAAGAGTTCTGGATCCCCAGCGGCAAGCTATACAGGCACCTTCGAAGATCCTTTATCGTGTCAACGTCCAGTTCGAATCCCGGAGTCCACAGTTCCCTAATCTCTATGCCAAGTTCCGTGGCCAGTTCCCGATGACGCTTGTAACTTTCGTTTCCGAGCCGGGGGGCGAAGCCCAGATCCTCGGGGACTACCAAGGCGTTGGTGCCACCATCATGGGCTGGACAGATGGTTATGCCGTTCGTGTGAGATACGACCTCCATGAGGCTGACGACGTCCGAGTCGGTCAAATGCGGCAGATCTCCAGGAAGGTATGCCGCTATACCACATGAGTCCCAGACACGCCTGAATGCCTCATCCACGGCGAGGTTCAGGTCGTTGAACCTGTCTGGCATCCAGACTGCATCCCGATCTGACGCGATCGACTGTACCCTTTCGTCGCCTCCTACCACAATCGTCGCACACACGTTGGAGTCGCGCAGCGCAGTCAGCACCGACGCCAGCATAGCCGCACTTAGTTCAGCTCGCTCCTTCTCACTAAGGTGATCGCTCAGCCTGGTCTTGGATTCGGCCAAGGGTTTCATCGGCACAACGGCCGTCACAGGTCTATTACCTCGCATGTGCTACGCCAGCAACCTCCAGAACGATGCGGGCCAGGTCAATCTTGTCCTGCTCGGTGTTCATGATCGTATCTACCACAACAGGTACCATCCCGAGTGACCTGATCTCATCGGCGTGGTGCCTGTCCAGGTCATCGAGAATGAACACGTCACAAATTCCTGAATAACGTCTGGCGACTCCCACGCACGAGACGTCCTCACCAAGCTCCTCGAGCAATTTAGCCGCCGGTCCTCTAAGAGCCTTACCGCCGACAATGGGACTGACCGCTATTGTTACACCGCTGAAGCTCTTGATTGCCGACTCTACTCCAGGCACCGCCAGGATCGGAGCCATGCTTAGAAGCGGGTTCGACGGGCAGTATACAAGCACGCTTCTATCGCTCAGCGCCTTGCTGAACGCCTCCGACATCGATGCACTCCCAGAACCATCGAACACGAGGTCTCTGACAACAGGTTCGCACCTATGCTTGACGAAGTATGTCTGGAATTCCAGTGTCCCGATGTTGGTCACAGCTTTCGTCCGAACTCTATCGTCGGTCATCGGCGCAACTGGGTGTTCGACGCCAAGTGATCGATACAAGCGACTGGTGACTTCGGACAGTGACTTTCCCTGCCGCAACATGTTCGTCCTCACGATGTGAGTCGCCATGTCGCGATCTCCGAGCCCGAACCATGTATCCTCCCCCAACTTGCCCAGGTGTTCGAGCGTGGCAAAAGTTTCGCCAGTTATTCCCCAACCGGTGTATGGGTTGGCGAGACCGGCCAGCGTATACATCACCGTGTCCAGGTCAGGAGAGACATGTAGACCGTAGAACTCTTCGTCGTCTCCTGTGTTTACAACTATTTGGAGGTCGTCTGGGCTGAGAACTCTCGCCAGACCAAGGCAAAGCTTTGCACCTCCGACACCTCCTGCAAGCGCTAGCACGCTCATCCGCCAAAAACCTCCTCTGCAGTGAATTCGTCGGGTGACCAGACTCGAAGAACAACGTAACTCTAACATGGCATTGGAAGTCGAACCAAACCACTTAATTCATCCTGTGCTAGATTCTGTTCGTGTACCCTTGTGACTGAGAGGCAGTCACATTCGCGTTACTCAACTCAACCTCACAAACTTTCGCAACTACTTGTCTGAAGAGCAGCGTCTCGACGGCGGGATCGTGTTGCTCCAGGGCCCAAACGGCCACGGAAAGTCCAACCTGATCGAGGCTATTCACATGCTCTCGGTCGCACGCTCTACGAGGGCTGCAAGCGACGCCGAGTTGATCAACACAGAAGCCCTCGCACGGTTTCCCGTCTACGCACAGATTTTCGGAACTGTGGAGCGCGCCGCAGGCCAAGTCCGACTCCAGATGGATCTCAGCGGAACTGAGTCCGGTGCGAACTCCCTTAGGTCAGCGGGTGAGCCAGCTCCCAAGCCAACCAGAGTGCAGAAGACGCTCCAGGTTAATGGCGTGAAGCGTCGGTCAAACGACTTCGTCGGCGTGCTGAAAGCTGTTCAGTTCTCCCCCGAAGATGTCGACCTCAGCACCGGCCCGCCCCAGTTACGTAGACGTTTTCCTGGACATGCTGATCTCCCAGCTCTCACACTCATATCTGGGCGATTGGCAGGAGTACAGCAGGGTACTCAGGCAGCGCAATCACCTTTTACGGGCGATACGTGAAGGAAGTTCAACAAAGTCGGAGCTTGAATTCTGGGATATCAGGTTTGCCGCCAGCGCCGGTAGAATTGTGGCGGAAAGGCTAGAGACTCTCGATAAGCTGGGCAAGTTCGCCAACAACATTCATGCTCGACTGAGCGCCTCCGACGAACCGCTCACACTGACCTACCAGCCGTCTTCAGAAATCGGGGACTCCCCGGACCAACGAGAATTAGCGAACGCGTTGCTCCAAGAAATGCGTGGGAGGAGCCTTCGCGAGATTGCAGCTGGTCACTCCCTCATGGGACCCCATCGGGACGACCTCTCCGCCTGCATTGGAGACATGGACGTGGCTGGATTTGCCTCGCGTGGTCAGGCAAGGACTGTGGTCCTAGCACTCAAGCTCGCTGAAGCCCACCTTATATCCGAGTCAATGGGGGATGAACCAGTAATACTCCTCGACGACGTCATGTCGGAGCTCGACCCCGGACGACAGCGCCAGGTTCTCGATTTCACGTCACAGTATGAGCAGGTCATAATCACGACTGCAGAGCCGGGACTTGCCGACCAGCTTGGAATAGAGAGTAGCCGCAGAATTCTCGTCGAGTCAGGTAGACTTACCGCCGCAATATGACAACCTCGGAGCGAGGGGGACATCTTTGAACAGTGAAGAGACGGCAATAGAAGCTGCCGCAGAGATTGTCCGCAACTCAAACTACCTAGTCGCACTCGTGGGTGCCGGCCTCTCTGCAGAGAGCGGTATCCCCACGTTCAGGGGAGCGGGCGGGCTGTGGACGCGACTAGGCGAACCGAGCTGGAACGGCTACCAGGATCTTCTGAAAGACCCCGTTGGATGGTGGAGAAACCAGCTAGATCCAGGGTCCGATCCGGCCAGGACGGAGTTTCGGGCCGCTATCGATGCAGCCGAACCGAACGCCGGCCACATCGCCCTTGTCAGCCTCGAACGGATGGACATTCTCAAGATGACCATCACTCAGAATGTGGACAATCTTCACGTCCGGGCCGGATCTACACGACTGATCGAGATTCACGGCAATCGTACCAAGGTGCGGTGCATCGTCTGCGAATCACGCTGGCTGAGGGAGGCATTTGACTACGAAGACTTGCCACCTGCCTGTCCCGAATGCGGAGGACTCGTTAAGGGTGACACGGTAATGTTCGGGGAACCGATACCGCCTCGCGTCCTTGAGGCCTGCTTCAATGCCACAGACAAATGCGACTGCATGATAGTCTGCGGCACGTCTGCCACTGTATATCCTGCGGCATCATTCCCACAGGCCGTCGCCGAGCGTGGCGGCTTCGTAATCGAAGCAAACCCCAATCCGACACGGCTTTCGGAGATAGCCGACGTAGTGCTCAAAGGACCGACCGGGATCACCCTGCCCCGCTTGGTCGACAGGCTCCGATAGCCCTTCAGGGGTATGCAGAGACAGTCTACGCGTTCAAGACCCAGACACGGAGCCTGCCGTCAGCCCCCACTGCAGCCACCTTTGATCCATCCCGAGAAGACGCGACTCCGTACATGCCTTTAATGCCAGTCTCTGCTCGGGCAGCCACTTCAAAAGACTCAGCGTCAAGCAGGCGGATTCCGCCCGCAACAGAACACATTAGCAACCCTGAATTGGGCACAACCGCTACGGAATTTGGGCCGCCTCCCTGCAATTGACCGGAGGCCACGGTCTCGTAACTGTCCGTGGCGAGCAAAACGAACTGACCCTCATAGGTAGAGCACAGTAGCTGCCCTTCTGGCATGAACAGGCATCCTGTCGCCGCCTGACCAGGAACCTCGATCTCCCTGACTACACTCCGTGATTCGACGTCCCATATCTTCACCAGATTGCCGATCCCCAGAGGTAGCCAGCACCTGTCCACAAGGGGAAAAACTGACGCACGTTACATTTCTCGGATGAGAGACTACTACATCCAGTCTGTCCGACCCCCTCAACCAGAATCCGATGCGCCCGTCGTAGGATGCGGTAACTCCTAGGTCGCCGCTCGGAGAAAAACTCGAGGCAGCAAGCGTGTTCCGATGTCCCGACAGCCTGACAATCTGTTCACCGCTCGCCCAGTCCCACACGATCGCCGTTCGATCAGTTGAGCCGGTCAATACCAGCTCCCCGTCTGGAGTTATAGCCGCTGAATTCACGCTCTTTTCATGACCCGAAAACGTTCTGATCAGGTCGAATTCGGGCACTGACCACACCTTAGCCAGTGAATCCATGCCAGTTGTCACGACTTCAGTGCCGTCAGGCGTGAAACTTACGGCCTGCGCATGACGAGGGTGAGCCTTGAATTCGGCAATAAGATCCAACTGCAATTCTTACCTCCAACTAGTGAGGGTATCTCATGAGGTATTGCGAAAGAGAGTCACGTTTGTCGCCGGGAACTCGACATCCCAACCCATTTCCCTGCCTATCCACAGCATCGTTCGTGTTGAATAGAAGGTGACGTGAGTTGGGTCTCGATGATAGTACCATGACGGGAACTTCGCCCGATCATCTAGAATCGCCGTCATTACCCCGAGGTGCCCACCGGGGACGAGCAGCGAGTCCAGGAGTTTGAACTCCGTCATGGGAGATCGCAGATGCTCCACCGTCTCGCTACATGTGACGAAGTCATACTGACGGTCCAGTACCGATACATCAGGATAGAAGTACGGATCGTAAAGGTTAACCTTGAATCCATCCTCCCGCATCATGTGGGCCAAAGCCGGGCCAGGACCGCAGCGCATCCAAAGTCGAGCCCAAATGATCCTTCCTCGAGCCTGGGTTTCAGGACGTCCCATAATCGAGCCAGGAACTTCCGATATCTGCTGTCAGATGGATCGTTGTCGTGCATGAGATAGCGTTCGATCTCAGCGCACTCGGGCAAGTGAAACTCGGGAGGCACAAATGCAAGGTCGCAAACACCGCACTCCCAGAACTCTCTGACACCGTGCATGTCGTCTGATCGATGCAGGAAGCGACACGTGTCGGATTCACAGAGGGGGCAGGTTGGGGTGCTCATTCGAAATTGGCCCTGATTACTGGGCCCAGATTCCCGAAGGTACACCCGGTACGATGTCTAATAGATGTCGAGAGTAAATGCCTGTCCGTGCGGGGTCTCTTTGAAGTCCAGAACAGAGGTTGAGAGCTGCGGGGTAAGTTCCTGCTTGAGAAGGAGTATCTTGACTCATCTGAGGGTAACGCTCATGTCGTCGCCCTTCTCGTCGTCTACGACAATACCGAAGTCGCCAGGTCCGGAACATGCTGGGGGTATAGCGAGTCGCAGGCACCTTCCGGCCCCTAACTTTCTATCCTCGAGAATGCGCTTCAATTCGCGCTTGGCGTCCCCTGTGACCTTCAGCATGTCCCGCCGTCACTCGGAATCGGCCGGCCAGATTGTATGATAGTTACGACCCGTTATCGCCGAAACGAGTTCGTCCCGTTCCATCTGCCTCAGTTCGCTCAACGCCTTACTGCAGGCCGCGACTGCTGAATCGTCCCCTGACTGGCGCACCCTGTCCACGATCTGGTCCCACACTCCGGACTCTACCAAGCTCCCCACGTACCGCTGCCATGGAATGAGCGTCAAGTTGTGTGACGGTGCATGGGGAGGAACTGCGC